GGAAGCGTAGACGTGATAAAAGACAAGAAGAAAGGAGTTGTTCTGAGGAAATTGTGGTGGCAAGATTGTGTTAGTTACAATCCTAATTATGGAGTGCTATCATAGCTCCATAATGTGCAGTCAAACTTTGCGATAGTAGAAAGCACGTTTTTTTTTTAACGTTTAAATTATGCAGTAAAAATCACATGCTAATTGTACTGTGTAAGGTATTGCATAAGTGGGAAAAATATAATAACTGTTTCACATTAATATTGTGTCACATGGGCAAGTCAGGAATGCCAATAACAAATGAAATCTGCATTATACAAAATGAAACAAAACAGAACAACAGCTTCTGTTTCAAGAGTCCCAGTCAACTTTAAAATCACACGTATATCGGAATTATTTTTATCTATTGTTACAAATAACAACAAGAGACTATTGGAACAGATTAGAGAAAAAATATATGTTTTTACTTTATGTATGTGACAGCACTTTGGGCCTAATCAAAAGCCCACTGAAGTCAATGGCAGTCTTTCCCTTGTATATAGTTTCTACAGTAGAGTCAGACTCTTCTGTTGTTTGTGTGGGTCTTTCCCACAGCAACAGGAGAGAAAAATACTATTAAAACATAGAGAAAACTGATTGTAAAACCACAAAAATTGGCAGAGGAGCTCAATGACAGCTGAAGTACTTGAAAGTACTTCTAACTGAATTGTTTTAATCAGCTATATTTCAAGCTGATCGTGTCATGACAGTTGACATGTATTGTTGACAGGGACCTGATCCTACATCTTGAAGACAGGGAGGGTTTTATAATTGGCTGCCATAGGCCAGGTTCACTGTCATGCTATGAGCCCATTATGCCAGCCCCATTTGGGCAAACGGACTGTAAAACTGGTAAATCTGGCCACCAAGGAATTCTCCCAGTATAGGAGGTATCTCCATATGGCATAGAGATGCCATAATGTCTCTGTGCTGCTTCCCCTGTTGCAGAGAGTTGGTAGGGTCCATGATCAGGAAAGAGGGAGTTGCTGGAGAGCAACTGTTGGGGCCAGAGGCAGCCAGGTGCTACTTAGGTCAGCCCTGAAGCTGCATAACCTTCTAGAGGCCTAATGAGATGCCAGAAGAATCCAGAAAAAGGAAGGAGCAAAGGTAGTGCTAATCCTCCCCTCTGCTCTCACGCAGCTCCGGGCCAACTGGAACTTGGCTGGATGTGAGAATGAAGCCCATTTGGGGCTGCACCAAGCCCTAGCTAGATATATAGTTCTATACAACATTTAGTGCCAAATCAGCCAGAGTAACCAGAGTAAGGTGTAGGCTGGGGAATTTTGTTGGGTTCCGTTGGGAAAAGAGTTTTCCCCCTTCCAAGCCATGAAATGGCTGTTTCTGCAGCCTCAGGATTACATCAATCCATGTATGAACATAGCCCGTGGTTCTGCCCTCATCCTTTTGCTACCACATCCTGTCCTCTGATTTCCTGGCAGTAGGCAGAGCTAGCAGCCACAGAGAAGATGTTTGTGGGTCAAGGTTAGTGCAGGTACCGCTGCAGGATGGTTGTGCTGCAAGAGGGGAAGCACTGAGTACATCTGTTGTACATCATGTATAGCAAGGGGCATGTCCCTGCATGTCACTTAATGCCTAAGAGGCATTTTATGCCTTTCAAAGGCAGAGCGCTACTCCCACCTCTCACCAACGGAGGTGCTAATGAGAGGAGTTAGGACATTTGAGTCAGTCCTGAAAATATTGTACTCAGGTGAGTAACCCTATTTGACTTTAATGGGATTACTCATGAGGTTTAAGCTTTTGCAGAATCAGACCCTTGGGATGACATGCTTATTTACATAATGCTCCCAGTTTCTGATTTGTCAGCCTCAGGCCCTTTTGTGTTTAGACCCTGCAAAGCTTAAAGTTCTCTGTTAAAGGGTTTCACTTAACTAACACTGGGCAAATATATTTAATCACAGTGGGTGACATATAACCCAGAGCACAGGGCCAGACAAAGCCCTACACAACACGTAAGCCCCATTTAAACCATGTGTTAAGACCAAGAGGCTCGATTTATTCCAATGCTATTTCAGCTTTATGTTCATAGAGTTACACTGGCATAAAACTGGAATAATGTAAAGATAAATCAGGATCAATGTTTTTTCCTCAGCACCCAGCCTGGATAACTGGGTTGTGGGCTATGGATGTTTTCGGAAGGCAAGAAAGAAGGATTCTTTCCTCCTAGGCCATAGACCTGCAGCAGAACCATTCTTCAGCCACTGCTCCAGCCTAGTAGCTGGAATAGCTTGCAAACCTACTCCCCTCCCCCCCTCCCCAAGAGGAAAAGAACCAGAAGTTCTGTATAGCTGTGGATCTTCCATCCCTGTCCACTCTCTGTCCCAGGCTCCCAAACACAAACCTGAACCTGGAGCCCTCATAGATTGGTCTCCATGCTGTTCAGGGATTGCAAACTCTCTGTATGACTTTACCAATCCAATACCCCTTTTGCACAGTGGAGTGTGCACTTATTCCACTGCAAAAGAAGGAGCACTTTCTATACTTATAGGCAAATCCTGCCCCACCACCCATAAGGATCTAAGTGGTGCAAGTAGGACTTTACATGGACCCTCTGCAATTAGTTGAATTTCATCATTTATGTATTTTAATTATTATTTTTATTATTAATAAGATATGTATATGGATATACAGAAAAGAATGGGTGCTGCATTTGTAGTGCAGTATTACAATCAACATCTATAAAGACTGTATGTATGTAAGTTCAGTGTTATGTATTGTTCAGTGTTGTGGACCACCTGAAAGTCACTAGTGTTCTGTGTAGACACAGAGACTGAATCGGGACCTCTCTGTGGGAGATGTAATGCACAATTTCCTAATATTAGCTGGTTTTAATTTTTTTTCAATGATGTATTTGAAATATATATGTTAATTTGTCCAATATAAAATGTATAGTTTATACAGAAAAATCTCCAAAAATATTTCTATTACAGTAATTTAAAAAATGCAGTTGCATAAAAGACTTGGGTCCAAACCCTTTTACTTTACTCATGAGAATAGTCCCATTCACTTTAATATACTGCTCTTGTGTGAAAGAAGAAAAGTTTGGTTATACAAAAGATGAATACTTTATAAATAAAGCACATGAGTTGTTTCTATCAGTACCTCTTATTCTCTGGAAGTTCCTGATTTGTGTGACTGTTCATGTTGCCTTCCTTGTTATTCTGAGTGTTATATCTTCCCCATTTAAACTATAATAACTGGGGTTGAGTCTCAAACTGTGACAGTTAGACTAATGATCATTTTTAAGGGTCAGATTTAAGAATGCTGGCCTTTTAGGATCTGCAAAATAATTGGGGGCACCCTTTTGCACAGCAGTTATTTGCTCCTGCAGTTTAGGTCACAAGTTCAAGTGACCTAAACTGTGACTACAAAATAATTGAATAAATAATTGTGGGTGCAACACAGCTTCCACAATTATATGTGCCTATGGTTTTGTGAAAGCAAAATGGGAGACCCGCTAGAGGCCTGGTTAAAAATATGAAGCTAAATGCCTGATAATACATACAGCAAAAATCATTCATTATAGGAGGGGAACTTGAAACACCACCTTTAAGAGACTCAGGGCTTGATCCTGTAAGGTGCTGAACACTTTGGCCCTGATCCAGCAAATGATGTGTTTAATGGTTAACTGCCCTCATAGTTGAAATCAAGCATATGCCTAAGTGCTTTGCTCATTTTGCAGGATTGAGCCCATGGTCAAATTAAAAATCTTATATTTAAAAATATATTTTACTTGTATGGTTACATGTAACACCTTGTTATGAAAACTGAATTTAAAATCTATCATACCCTTCACTATGTATACTGTTTGTTTATCTTTTCCATTGTGCTCAGCATGTACAAATGAAAATACACTGGTCAGTTTCACTTTTGTTTATATTCATTTTCTGTCTCAGGCACTAGTTGCTTGCTGTGTGATGTGTGGGTTGGAGAAACTGCTTCAGAGTGGGAACGGTTACAAGTTGAAGGGCCTGTTCCGCATTGCTATACCAATTCACACCAGCTGAGGAGCTAGCCCTGAATCCTTTTTGGTTAGATAAAAACTATTTTTCTTTTAATTTATAAAAACAAACCATGGAAACATTTTCATTGCTTTTAGATTTTGAAAAAGCACCCGGAGAGTGAAAACAGTAGCATTCAATCCATTAAATCATATAATTTATATTGCATTGTAGCCCTGAGTCGACTGAGTATGATGATAGATTCCTTTCTTCTCCGAGAATTAATCCATATGTAATGATTCCCTCCCCTCTTTTCCTGCCCTGCCCCAGTAGCACAGCTTCTACCACAGTATTGTGTGAGGAGCAGCCAGGCTCGAGCTGTAAGTAGCCCGCAAGAAGAAAACTACAACTCCCGTGATGCCGTGCATCAGCGCAGTGCGCGATGGGAGTTGTAGGTTAACAGCGTTTCTGTTCCCTCAGAGGAGGGATGAAAAAACTACCATTCCCAGGAAGCGCGGGACTCCGGCGCAGGCGCAGAACAGGGTGGAAGGAGGGGGCGTGCTCCACGGGGCTGTCTATGTCTGTCGGTTTCGGGCGCTAGTCGCCATTTAGCGCGGAGAATTAGCCGGGCCGGGCGCAGCGGCTCCTCCCCCCTACCCTCGCGAGGGAGACACCCGGGCTCCCCGACCGGGGCCTTGCGGAGGAGGCGGCTTCGCGGGCGGCCCCGGTGAGAGACCCGCGAGGGAGGTTTCCGGCTCCCTGTGAGGCGCCGGCAGGCAGCGAGGGGGCCGGCCCCGCGGCGAGCGGTTACTTCCTACCGGGAGGAGGCCGAGGTCGCCATGGGCGCCGTGTGAGGCGAGAGCTCCCTCAGGCTCCGAGTGACCGGGCCGCGCTTCTCTCCCCCGGCGGGGCGTGCCGGGCCTGCCCTCCCCTCTCGCGGCAGGGGAGTGCGGGGCCTGCGCCCCCGGCGCAGCCGCTTCCCGGCCTGGGCCTGCCTCGCTCCCCACCCCCAGCCCGGGGGGCCAGTCGCTTTTCCTCTCGGAGAGCAGCTGGGCTGTCCCGCTGTAGGCAGCCAGCGGCTTCGTCCCGGCCCGGCACCCGCCTCAGGCTCCTCTCGACTTCTCCCCCCTAGTCCCGTGTCCTGGTCCCGCTGCTGTCGCTCCATGTCGGCCCCGCTGCCCGGCTCCCCGCTGCAGGATGGATGTGGACGCTAAGCAGGGACCCACCCCGCCGCTGGCCCAGCAGCCGCCGCCAAGCCCCGCTGTGAGGAGCCCTTGGGACCCTCCTCTGTTGCAGCAGCAGCCGGACGCGCTCCCCGCTCAGTGACACCTCCCATCCTCTCAGCAGCGCTACCCCGAGCCCCGCAGCACCATGTCGGAGGGCGCCGCAGAGAGCAGCAGCCCGGCCCCCCGCTTCCTGGCTCCCCCGCCGCCTCCGCCCAAGAACGGCTCTAGCTCGGACAGCTCCGTGGGGGAGAAGCTAGGAGCCGTCGCTGACCATGATGGCTCGGGGGCCGGAGGAACAGGCGGCGAGGTGGGAGGCGGGGGCCGGAGCGAGGAATACCGGCGTCGCCGTCACACCATGGACAAGGACAGTCGTGGGGCTGCAGCCACCGAGCACCGCTTCTTCCGCCGTAGCGTGATCTGCGACTCCAATGCTACAGCTCTGGAGCTCCCTAGCTTGCAGCCCGCAGCACCCCCGGCCGTCGCCACTCCCGGGAGTATCACCCCGCTGCTGGGCTCCCCTCCTGAACCCGCTAGCCAGACCCCCTGCATCTCTGTCACCCACGTCCCCCTGCTATTGTTGCAACAGCCGTCTCTGTCGCTTCCCCACGAGGAGCAACCCATTCAGGAGCCCCCTGCAGCAGAGGACATCGCCCCGCTACTGCCCAAAGGAGAGGCAGAGGAAGCTGCCCCCTTACCCCCTACCAACACGGCAGGCAGTGCAGCCACCGCCAGCCGGGAGCTCCAGAACCGACAGCAAGAGGATATCGAGGAGTTAGAGACCAAGGCGGTGGGCTTCTCCCTTGAGGGCCGCTTCCTCAAATTCGATATTGAGATTGGAAGAGGCTCCTTCAAAACTGTCTACAAGGGGCTGGATACCGAGACTACGGTGGAAGTTGCCTGGTGTGAACTACAGGTAAAAGAGGTGCAAATTCCCCAAGCACAGTCATTCCCCTGCTGCCAGCCTCAAGAGAAGGGCAGAATCCTCAGATGTCAGGTCAACTGTCATCAGGGATGGGGGACACAGTTTTCCCTAGGTGTCAGCCAGCCAGCCATTCTTTGAATGGAGGGAGCAACTTCTCCCATGAGCTAGGCTGCCTGTTCGATTTCCTAAAGGCCTCTTCCCCCTTATGAGGTTGTCCAAGCTCTGAGACTTCAGAAACAGTAACTGCATTGAGTTTTCTGGAGCACTTAGCCTTCATGTCTTCTAAAGGTAATTTGGAGAGCTGCACAAAATCCTTTACCTGAGAGATAAAGGGGTTCAAGCTATAAAATTAGTATTTATACTTCTTGAAATCTAGTTCAAGTCTACCTCCAGCTAAGATAATTTTTTTCAAAAGATTGGCATTTGACATTAATGTAAAGAAAAATGTATGAGGTAGGGGAAACACTTGCATGTGTGGCTAACGTCATCTTACAGGAGATACTCAAGAAATATGCTAGCGAAGTGCACATAATACAGAGGTAAACCAATGTAAAATTAAACTTGAGTTGGTAGTGTACTATGACTCCCCAGTAGCTCAGCCTAAGTCCCATGGCTGCCTGTTGATACACTGGAAAGTAAATGCTTGCCTTTCATAAAATTGCAAAGGCTGAAATTCAACCTTTCCAGGTAACTATCTGGTTAAACTGTTACAAAGATGTTGCCGTACCTGCCAGCTCTTTGCTTCGACAGAGCTAAGGCTGTGCCGAACCCCAGTCTCATGATGGCAACAGCAGCAACTTCAGCTCCATGGCGAGTTGGAGCATGTATAACTAAGTGAGAGGAAGGTTGCTGTGCAACAAGGTTAAGGGGGAGGGTAGAGCCTGGCCTACCAGTTACAAATATCTGAAATAGGGGAATGGAGAGTCTCTGCTCTTGAAAAATTGGAGGAGGCAGAAGAAAGGCAGCAGTGGAAAGTAATCTTTCCCCATTGCTTCTGAAGGCTCAAGTGCATGATCTCAGTGCGCTCTCCTGACTGGCTGCAGTATCTCATGTGCCAAAATTCTTCCTCCTCCACAGAGCAACTTACCTACTCTCACAGTCAAACTGAAAAATGACTGAGACCACTCTCAGCTTGTATTCGTAGCATGCATTTTGAAATCAAATGACACCCTCTGCCAGTGTCCTGGGTAGCTATGCATCACCACATACCGAACAGGTTTGTGGTAATAGCTTTGCAAGCTTTTTCTTTTTTAAATAAATCCTAAGACCTAGCAGTATACTCAGGGTACCATTGTCATTGGTCCTGTCTGTGTTTAATAGTTGATGCCCAGTCAGGTGCTAGGCACTACTTAAACTTTCAGTGCACTGTCTGAGTGGTGCATTATTTGTTTTCTTTATGCAGTCTGATGTAATTTTGATTTGAAATCCTAATCTTATTCTCTGTTTAAAAGGCTCTTTGAGTTCATCTCAGATTTATCTTAATATTCAGATATTGTTTATTGACCTGAAGTGACTGTCAGCTTGGTAGTGATAATTTCTGACTTCAGCAGATATCATGATAGTCAGGATGTACTAATGGTTATGGGGTACTATAGGAACAAATTAGCTAATAGAAACATCACATACCTTTTATTTACAAATAAGTCTCTTTATAAAACAGACTTAACCAAGATTTTGAAGTTAAACATTCTTTTATCAGACACTTCAAAAATAATATAATGGTTGGAATAACAATGTAAAACAGAGGGAAGAATCTTTATAAAGTAAGAAAAGGGTGATGAATTCCAGTTAGGTTTTGCTGGAAGGCTATGAGTGGGTTGTAGATTACATTATTACTATATTTCACAGTTTGCAGTTTAAGTAGCAATGTGTGATAATTCCACAGGGTGAGTGACAAAGGTACAGGACATGAATAGAGAACTGTTCTAAGGCGGTAGAAATAAATTTTCAACTACAGAAATGAGCCTGTGATGTATGGTAAATAGGATATTTTAAGGCCATGAGAGTGTTGATTTCTCACTGCCTTCAGTTGTTTTGACTGGAGAGGGACTCTGTAGCCAGTGGTGATGCTTTAGTGATGCTACACATTTACTTCAGTAATAATTACAGGAGGATGTCATTGCTGTTCTGTGACTTACATTGACATTTTCTTGGTCTGTTCACTTCACTCAGACTCAACTGTATGGCTTTTCAAGGATGAACTGACACTTTGTAAGGATGATCTACTGATGCTAGGAGTGTTGCAGAGAGGAGGAATTAGTGAATTCCATGCCAACATCAGGTGGATTAATTTCTTTTGTGAGCACAAATGAGCTCTGATTCTTTTAGGGCTGTCTTGACTTTGTTACCAATTTATGCTTAACCTTTTCATAGTTTTGGTGCTTTGAAAAGTATTATTTTAAAATGCAATAGCTACCTCTTGTCTATAGTTGAAGCTAGTAAGGTAGGGGAAGAATTTCAAACAATTAAAGCTTACTTTTCCTTTTGAAAAGAACTCTGTCCAAAATGTTTAGTTTATTCCTAGATCTCAAACACTAGCACTGCTATGTAATTTGGGAGCTGAAAGGGCATTCTAGACATAGGAGAGGTGATGAGCATGGCAGGTGTCCCTTTAGTTCAGGAATTTTTTTTTTTTGTATTCAGTGCTACCACAATAAGTCACATCTGAACTTTATAAGAATTTACTTAAGCATAGTGTGTAGCCACAGACACCGTTTTCTGGCTAAGGCTCGTTTGCATGATACAGCAGCCTAACCTGGTGAAAGTAAAACTTGATACATACATGGTATCACGCAATTGGAAAAGATGACAGAGGGATAAAACATCACAGTTCTTACTTACAAGGCATGTGATGGGGGAAAAACTGCAAATGCAGTGCATGGAAGCCTACCAAAACTTCTATATGTATTTAATTTATAGTCTTTTGAGTATACGTTTAATGCCTAAGTTATCTGAAACGTCTTTGCTAATAGGAAAGGCTAAAATGCCAATCTTTTTACTGTTTATCAAAATTGTTAAATATTTTTGATCATGAAGTGTTCAAATTATACAGCACTGAGGACAGTCCTGCTAGAGCATTCAAGGATTTGGTGTATTACGCAGACAAGCCTAGAATGGACTTGGCAATAGAATGTCTGTTTAACTGTGGGGTTTCTAACTGGATGACACAGCTGTCTTTGACTTCAAACTAGGAACCCGGTAGGGAGATCAAGGGTAAAATTTTCGGGAGTGTCTCATTTTTCAAAAGGAACGTAGGTATTTAAATCCATTTTGAAAAATGACTTCTTTTCCCAAGTCACTTTGGAAAATCTTACACCATGTCTTTCAGAAGCCTGGATGACTGCATGGTGGTGTCCCTTGTGTTTGTCAGGCTGAGGATAGTAGCATAAATGGAAAAGTAAGCATATTTTTGGTTCTCCAAAGGTGTGTAGCTTAATGGCAATCCTCCTTTTGCCAGGTAGGAAACCTGGGTGAAATTTCTGTTTTCGCTTCCCTTATACAGGAAAGGTGGGAATCTGTGATATGGAGGATTTTGGGGCTCTGGGAGTGATTCAATGGAACCCCAGTAAGCAGCCTTGTAGGATATTTTGGCTTTGTTCCAAATGCTTTGGTTCTCACTTCTGTTATTCTCCTTCCACTGGTTACAGGCATTGAAGTGCATCTTCCATTGTCATAATTGGACGTATCATAACTGCATCTAGAAAGAGGTTAGGGTCAGCACTCATAGGCTTCATGATCTAGATGGCAAGCACAAAATCAGTTGAATATCTTCTTGTGAATGGAATGACAGTAATTCAAAGAAGGGAAAATAGCTATGTATAACTCTTAACATGGCTGGTTAATCTGATTGTTCAAAAATGAAAAACAATTCTTAACTGCCTCTTTTCATTCAGTAGCATTGCTACTAGGAATACATGATGCCTTATTCTTGTTACATTAAACTTAATAACCCTGTATTATTGAGTAACTGTAGGTCGGAGGAAGTCACAGTTGCAGTTGATTATTCATGTAAGCTAAGTCTTAGGTGTGGTCTGTGAACCTCCAGGTAAGTCCCTCCTTTCCTCTCATTGAGTCAGTTTTGAATGGGATTGTGTAGTCTACTTAGGTTCATCAAATAACACAGACCTGCAGAATAACTGGTTTGAACTGAAAATCTTCTGAGTGATGTTGGATTGCAATGGGAATTTATCACTTGTGAAGGAGCACTAATACTGTGTATCTTTTAAACATGAAAGTGCAGTGGGTGTTAGGCCTGCTCTTAAAATAATTAATCCCTCCTTTCCTGATGTGTGTGAGGAATTTGAAGAATTACCTTTAAATTGGAAAGGGTCTTCCCTTTAATGCGGAAAGGGTGATACAGGAGCCTCCATGTGAATATTATTTAAGTTGGTTGTGGAAATGCTTCCAAGGTGCTAGTGAAAGTAATATTATCTGGAGCAATACTCCACTCCACCTGTTGTCATACAGCATTTGCCCCTTCCCATCCCCACTGCCAACCATAGCTTCATGAAGCTTTGCTAACATACACCACCTTTGCCATTCCTGTATTTGGCATCTTTTAACACAATACCCTGATTAATTCTAAAATCATCGATTTTCACATGGACAGATGTCTCGGTCCTGGCGCTAGTAGGATGTTGAACCTTATCATACTGTGATGCAAGATGGATGTCAATTCTGGAGGTGAAACTGGTGCAGTAGTGTGTTCTGATAGTTTTGCTTAAATGAGTAAAAGCTGAAAATGAACTTAATCTGAATTTGTTGCTATCTCTAATTCTCATTGTTAGCTCAGCTCTGATGTACAGACCTATGTTGTAGAACTATAAATTCCAGTTAGACTACACACTCAAATCCACTACATTTATGTTTGGGATCAACCGTCCCTAGTGATAGGTGTCCTTGCTTTCCTAGCAATGATGGTAAAGCTGTTGAGTACAAACATAACTGCATTGCTGTTTACATGCAACTGTCATTTCTCCCCCCTGCAGTTT